CACCCTACAGAGTAAAATGCAATAACCGACCGCATTGAGGGAGAGGAACGTGTCTGCAGAAAACACAGATCTACAATTTTCAAACTAATAACATCCCGTCGACGGTAAACTTTAATGATCTGCGGGTGATTACTGAGATCCTTCAACTCTTCGGCCAAGCCTCGGGGGTTCCGTATCAACCTGCAGAAGAGTTCCACTACCTACATTAGATGTGAGGAGGAAGTGGCTTTCTTGGTAGGGGAGCACTTCGAATGTCAACAGAAATCCTTCCCAGTTACGTATCTCGGGCTGCCTCTCTTTCTGTCTTGAGGTTGAGGAGGCAGGACATCATGCTCCTAGTGGACAAGTATTCCAACAAGATGAAATGTTGGAAGCCAAAGTTACTGTCGGCAGCGGGAAGACTTACGCTCATCAACTCGGTGCTCATGGCACTACCGATCCACTTCATGGCAGTTTTGCCTCTTCCAATCTGGGCCATCAAAATTATCAACAGGAGATGTCGACGCTTCCTATGTAAGGGCGAGGAGGCCATCAGTGTTGACCACTGCTTGCTGCCATGGGCTCAAGTGTGTTCACCCATGGACTATGGTGGGCTCGAAGTTCTTATCCTCATGTGGTTCGGATGGGCTCTGTGATGCCGGTGGTCATGGATGAAATGGGACGAGCACCCCAGGCCGTGGCATTTACTGCCAGACACTACTGAGAAAGCAGTCTCGGTGATGTTCAATGTGGCCTCGGCGATTTCAATAGGAGTGGAGATGGGGCTTCCGCGAGGTTCTGGACAGATAATTGGCTCGCTCAATTGCCGCAACAGCGCCAACTCTGTTCTCATTTGTCAAAGACTCCGGCTGCTCGGTTCAGGAAGCTCTTCATAATCAATCCTGGATAAGGCTGGTCGTAATGATAGTATGGCAGCTAGTATAATGCATGCCCACTAGATAATTTTAATGAGGTGTCATAGAATTAAATGAAGAAAGAGAAGGTTAAGTATCATATCATGATACCGTATCATAATAAATGATATGCTACTATGTGTCATGCATGGCAATAAATAAAATACTACATGATACTAATATATGATACTATGCATTAGGGAGATAGTATCATACACTAGTATCATATGCATGATACTAGTATATGATACTCCCAGTTACAACCAGCCTAAGGGATATCTCGGGTGGTGTCTTGGCCCTTGTGCAATATTTGTCAGTTTGGGATTTCGAGCATCTCCAGCCGTTGGCCCCCCAGGGGGCGCCTAAAATCGCCCCTTGGGGGTGAGCCGGCGCAAAAAATCGGCCTGGGGCCGAGTTGGTCCCCAGCCGTCGGCCCCAAGGCCGTCCCCAGGCGCATTCAGAAAAATTTAATAATATAGCAAAGTTCAAAGTTCGGCATATATTACATTAAAAAAGCGGGTTTTTATTACATAATATATATATATAATTAAAAAAGAACTGGCTAAAAGCGGAGTAGTCGCCGTCGTCATCGTCGTCCGGCTTCTCCTCCTTGACGCGGCCGTCCCTGGTGGACCCCTGACCGGCGTCGCCTATGCGGGCTGGTGGCGGCGGCGCGGCGTCGTCGTCGCTGTCCTCGATGATGACGATTCCTCCTTTGTCGCGGCCCCAGCGGCGCTGCACGAATCGCCACAGGGCGGCGCACTGGCGCTCCCTCGCCATCTTCAGGGAGTCCGCGCGCGCCCATTCTAGGGCCGCGTCGTCGTCGAGCTCGACGTCGCCGCCGTGCTCCGTCTTCACCGCGGGGAGGCCCGGCTCCGTCTTCACCGGCGCCAGGCCTGGCTCCGTCTTGGGCTTGACGAAGCGCGGAGCCGGTGAGGGGGCGCGCCGGCCGCCCTCATTGATGATGATGCCGGCGCTGCGAGTGCGCCAGCCGAGCGGCGTCTCCGCCGCGTGCTCGGCCATGACGCCGAGCAGCGCCGGAGCGCCGGACGAGTGTGAGGAAGAGCGGGAGGAGGAGGAAGAAGAGGAGGCGCCGAACCTCCTGGGCAACCATTGCCCGTCGAGTCGGCGCTGAGCCGTGGCCGTGGCGGCCGCCCTCACCGGGGGGGTATGCCAACGGCGGGTCGTTGCCGCCCTCGAGGTACGTCAGAACGCCCTCGAGGGTGCGGCCTGTGACACCCCACCACAGGCGGCGTCCGCCGCCGTTCTTCGGTCCAGCTACCACCGGCGCGCTGTTGGTGGACGCCATCCTCTGTTGCTGTTGGTGCTGGAAGTACGCTGTCCACGCCGCTATGTTGTCGGCGGCGTACTCGGGAAGGGCGAGTTGGGCGTCGATGAGGGAGGCGCGCACGACGTCGACCTCGTCGGCGAATTAGCCCGGTTTCGCCACGGCGTCGGGCAACGGGGAAATGGGCACTCCCCCGTTGCTGAGTCTCCACTCCGTTGGCCCGGCGCGCATGTCCGGCGGCGCTGGGATGTTCGCCTGGAACAGGAGTCAAGACTCCTGTTCACGGAGCGAGCGGCAGCCGAAGCCGTTGGCCGCGGCCTCATCTTCGGGGAATCGCTCGGCCATCGGGAGAGGGAGGGAGGGAGAGGGAGGGCTCTGCGGCGGCGCTCGGGAGAGGAAGGGCTCGGCGGCGGCGCTCGGGAGAGGTAGAGGGCGGGCTAGGGCTGGTGTGGCTGGTGTGGCCAGAGGCGAGGGAGGCCACCGCTTATATAGCGGCGCCGCCCCGTGTGTACGCGTGCGAGGGAGGGGAGGCGTCGGTGCGCCGCCCCATGACGCGCCGCCCATGAGGAATCAATGGTAAGGCTGACCGGCGGCAGCCTTGCCATTGATTCCCCGCGGAAAACCGAGGCGTTCGGAGAAGAAGACATGCGGTGTCGCTGACGCGGCGGGCCCGCGGCTCTTTTGCGCCAAAACCGCTCGCCCCGGCGCCCCCGAGCGCGCCGGGTTCGGTCTGGGTCCGTCGGCGCTAAATTCGGTCCAGGCCAGCGAAAATCGGGCTCCTGGGACGCGACTAGACTGATTTTTTTACGCCGGCGTGAAATAAACACCTAGGGAGGCCTTTCTAGAGGCGCGGCTGGAGATGCTCTTAGCCACTTATACAAGCCTGCGGCCAGGTGTGCGGGATCAGGCCCGTTGGAAGCTCACTAAGGAGCAAGAGTTCTCGGTCGATAGTGCGTACAAGATGATGTTCAAGCCAAATATTCGATTTGCTTGCAACAAGCCAATCTGAAGATCCAAAGCACCACCACGGTGCAAGTTTTTTATGTGGTTGGTCGTCTATGGCGAGTATGTAATGGCAGATAACCTTGCGCGCAGAGGTTGGCCAGCGAACCCATCCTGCCCCCTTTGTCTGTCAGAGCCTCAAGATTGCACACACTTCTTCGTTCACTATCGATTCTCCAGCAGCTGTGGTGTACGTTCAAGTCTTCGACCGGGGCGCAATTCGCTACACCGGATGATTCTGTGCATAGAGGAGTGGTGGCTGCGTGCGAGGGCCGGCATACCCAAGCCAATGCGCAGAAACTTCGACACTGTCACAATTCTGATGCACCGGAGGCTGTGGAAAGAGAGGAACTCCAGAGTTTTCGACCAGGTGGCGAGCAGTGCTGAAAGAGTTTTAGATTTGTTACGAGAAGACATAACAGTGTGGCGTTTAGCGGGCTACATCGCTGACCTAGGCTACAAGCGAGCTCACTGGCAGTTTCTGCCGTGTTTAGGGCCGGCTCATTCTAATTTGGGGTGTGTCAGACTCTGGTTTCCAGTTTTAATTCACCTAGACTGCTAACCGCCATGTATTTCTTTTTCTTCCTATCTAATAAAGATCGGCCGCTGGCCCTTTGATATATTAGAGCCTGATACATAGCCCAACAACCGCGGCTGGAATCATGGCATATTCGCCAATTTGTTCAATCAGATCGATACGTATGTGGCTTATCCATTCTTTCTCTAAACCAGTGTGAAGGCGTGCCCTTCACCCACTTGCAATGCAATGACCGTGTAGTTTGACCAGCATACATAGTTACATACGTATGGTTTGGGACAAAAACTACTGTCTATTAGAAGTTTTCAGGCGAGAGTGGAGAATATTATGATTGAACAAAGGACTTTAGGAACCTTCCTGGGAGACGCGTACCGCTCTAGATTACCACAACGATTTTTATTTTGAAGGTACCACAACGAATATATTGACATGTTACTTTTTTTCTTTTTTGCGGATAATAATGAGATGTTAGTTGTCTGCTCTATCATCTGGTCAAGTAGAGAGACTTGAAATTCTTTTTGTTTTTGGCGGGGAAGAGAGAGTTGAGATATTAGTAGAGTGGAGATTATTATCATTGAGGAAGAAAGACTTTAGCAACCTTCTGGATAAACATTCTTGATAGACACATACCACCCTATAGTATTACAAGAGTAAAATGCAACAACGCACCACATTGAGGGACATATCTGCAGAAAACACGGATCTACCGTAAACTTTTTGCGTAAACCACTCATTAGTGGATTACAATGTGTTAGGCATACTTATGACAGTGGGTCCTGCTTTTCACTAACATGGCATAACAACCATATGGATTGGCATATATATAAAAGTTGATCACATATGGAGAACAAAATTGGATCCTTCGCCAATATCAAATGTCACTTTCCCGCAAAAGGTAATTTCAAAATTCACTTTTTTTTTAAGAAACACGGTACAAATTCACTTGTTGTCATGCAAAGCAACCAAAATTTGTAGAAACATGCATTTGTTTTGGGTTGTTGCCCTGTAACTAGTTTGAATCTTCAAATACTAGAGCAGAGCCGTCTTAAAGAAAGAAAGCCCAACTATGTCCTACATCTCACTGTCATGCTTATCTTTGACTTCCTTTCAGTATTCTTGGCGTGATCCATGCTAGGATTATTTGGACAAATATCTCCACTTGGTTGTTTCCCGCTTAGCTTATAAATAACGGCCATTTTCGCTAGACTTGAGCAAGCCACACGCCTAGCCTTAGCTAGCTAGCTTACTCCACAGTCCACACCCACGCACCTGACCAACTATGGCGATGGCGAGCAGCAGCGGCGGCGCAGGCTCACTGGTTCTGGCCTTCGTTACCGTCGCCGTTCTGCTCTCCCCAGCCCTGTCCGCCCCTCTGGACAGCACCGGCTTCCACTCGGCGACGTGCCCGCAGCTGGAGAGCATCGTGCGGTCCTCCGTGCAGACGGCGCTCCAGCGTGAGGTGGCGCTCGCCGCCGGCCTGCTCCGCATCTTCTTCCACGACTGCTTCCCACAGGGCTGCGACGCGTCTGTGTACCTCAAGGGCAGCGGCACGGAGCAGGCCATGGGGCCCAACAGCACGCTGCAGCCGCGCGCGCTGCAGCTCGTGGAGGACATCCGCGCCAAGGTGCACGCGGCGTGCGGCGCCACCGTGTCGTGCGCCGACATCTCGGCGCTCGCCACCCGCGACGCCGTCGTGCTCTCCGGCGGCCCCAACTACACCGTGCCGCAGGGCCAGTTCGACAGCCTCGCCCCTGCGTCGGCGAACGTCGTCAACGGCCTCCCGTCGCCGGCAACTGCCAGCGTCACCACCCTCGCCCGCGCCTTCAGCGCCAAGGGCCTCCGCGACCTCGCCGACCTGGTGGCGCTCTCCGGCGCCCACACCGTCGGGAGGACGGGCTGCCCGTTCTTCGCCGACCGGGCCCAGCGCATGGACGACACCTTCTCCCGGAGGCTGGCGGCCAACTGCAGCGCCCCCTCGCCCCGGCCACAGAACCTGGACGTGGTGACCCCCGACCTGTTCGACAATGGGTACTACAGGGCGCTGGTGAACAGCCAGGGCGTGTTCACCTCCGACATGGCGCTCATCAAGGACCGCACCACGGCGCCCATCGTGAGGCAGTTCGCGCAGAGCAAGGACGCCTTCTTCGCGCAGTTCGCCAAGTCCATGGCCAAGCTCGCCACCGCGCCGAGGCCCGGCGGGAACGTCGGCGAGATCCGCCGCAGCTGCTTCAGCCGCAACGCCCGGCGCGCCATCGACACCATCGTCGACGCCGGCGAGGAGGAGGGATTCGCGGCTTCTGCCTGATGTCGATCGACAGATTAGCGTGTGTGCGTTTGCTGCTGGTCGTGCGCTAGATAGCATGCACGTGCGTACCAACGTGCATGGCTTCGTGTATGTCATCAGATGTTAATTTCTGCTCGCGCGTGTGTGTTCCTGCTTTGGCTCTGTAGTGTAATAGAGACTTCATCAGCGAGTGACCAGGTGCTTGCTTGCTCATGGTTCAACATTTCAATGAAATTTGACCGAAATATTTGTGACCGTAACCTCGAAATTTTGGACCAGAATCAAACTAGTTCCACACCAATTTGACATTAAGGAAAAATACTAGCATCTACAGTATCAAACTAGCTTCACACCAAAATGCATAAAGTCTTGATCGCAAAAAAAAAAAAACATAGTCTTATCACCCCATGAAACCATGATTGTGTTGTCACCCGCAAAAAAAAAAACATGGTTGTGTCTAGCAATGGGTCCTGGTCGATTGTTTAGTTTGGTCAAAGCTAAGCTAGGCTAGTCTTGTGCAAGTGGTGCACATGGCCTTCACACTGTGCTGAATATAGTGCATGCAAGTGGTGCCCGGCGTACGTCGACCAGAATCGAAAGAGATGGACACGCCAGCCAGAGCCTTGGTTTCTCAAGTCTAAACAGAATGGTCGGAGCTGCTCCGTCCTATGGATAGATCTATCCAGCAGCAATTGCCTACTTTGTTTCTCGAAACGACTGGCGGAGTACGTCTTTGTGAAATGGAAAAAACTTCTTACCTAAAACTAAACTAAGAGCATCTTCAACAGGCGCATAAAAACTGCTCCGCGCACTAAAATTCGGGTATTTTGGGCGCCAGACAGCTTCAGCATAAGCTGTAAAATAGTGCACGTACAAATGGGCACGCGCTAAAAAATGCTATTAGAAGCCGCAAATTTGAGGCGCCGAATTGCGCGCGCTTTATAATTTGCACTGCGCGTTTTTTTACGTGCTTTTTTGGGCTTCTGGTAAACTAATGTTGGGTCCAGCTCGGTAAAAGTGCTACAATGACACATTAAAACTATTTTAGTGCGTAAAACATTTGTACGCTCCAACAGATGCCGAACGCGCCGCGCGCTAAAACTACTTTGTCGCGCGCCCATCGCTTGGTTTGACGCGGCGGGTAGCGCTGGCTCCAGCAGCGCGTAAAAATGCAACACGCGCGACTCTGGCACAAACAACATATGCATTCCAAACACAAGCAAAAAGATCAAACACAGACAAAATAAGTCAACTATAAATAGTTCAATTTCGTTAGTACAACTCAAACAAATAGTTTATCGTTTAATACAATAAATAGTTCAATATAACACAACAAATTATTTAACAATACAATATCGAACGCCCAAATCATGATGCTCTTTGTGCCCATTCTATGCCCTCCACTCCTCAATGAGATCCTTTTGAAGATCATCAAGCGCTGCGGGACGTCAAATGACATGATAGGAGTCAACAAAACGGGCCACCCTTTCAGCCCTCCGTTTACATCTTGGTCACGCTTATTCTCGATGATCATGTTGTGCATGATCACACAAGCGTGCATGATGTACCAAAGCATTTTTTGATCCCAAAACCTAGCCGGTCCTCTCACAATAGTGAATTGGGCTTGCAAAACCCCAAAAGCTCTCTCCACATCTTTTCTAGCCGTTGATGAAACTATGTACCTAGGGTAGGGGCACGGACCCGTCCAAAGAGCCCTACCCAAGGACATCCCTAGAAGAAGTCACCTTTCAATCGACTTGAAGGTATCTCACTCGACGGGTTCAAGACACTCGACCAAGAAGCTACCACTCGACCATGATGCTAGCCACTCGACCGCTAGGAGATCTGAAGTCACTCCGCAGGCAAACGGTCGGCTATTAAGTAGTCTTTATGGTCATTGTAGCACTCTATTAGGGGCGTTACCAGTAACGCCCAACCTTAAATGTACCTTAAACCCTGCATTACTGAGGGCAGGAGAGGGCCGGCGAACTCTATATAAGCCACGCCCCCTCCTCAGTATGAAGGGTTCGCACCCCTGTTATTCACACGCCAGTAATCCAGTCGACCGCCTCCGGGCACCGAGACGTAGGGCTCTTACTTCCTCCGCGAAGGGCCTGAACTCGTACATCTTGGTGTGTTTACAACTTCCCAATAGCTGAGATCTAGCCTCTCCATACATACCCCCCTACATCACTGTCAGAGTTAGAACCACGACAGTTGGCGCCCACCGTGGGGCCGGAATCTTAGCGCCTGATTGGAGAAGTTGCGATTTTTCCGATCCCTTTGATCATGGTTTCGTGCGGAGTTTTGGTGGAGGGCCGCGAGATCCGCCTCGGCGCGCTCACGTTCATCGCCGACGACTCCGCCTGGCTTCAGGAGGCGCCACTCGACGTTGACGCGCTCCCCGTCCGCGGTGCGACGCATTTCCGCGCATGCGTTCATGGCGTCCTCCTGCGGCAGCCGTCGACCCAGTATCAGTCGGCCCCCTTATCGTCTCCCCGCTCTGTCTCCCACCGACGCAAGCGCTCCGGTCGGTCGAGACTTCAGAGGTGGGTGAGGCACGCCGTGGCTCGCCAGTCGGCCGCCCCGCAAGTCGCGGCAATCGAGCCCGACGAATCCCTCTGCGGCCTGTTCGACTGGCTCCGCGGAGACCGCATCCGAGTGCGACAACAGCGACCCAGCGGCTGAGATCCTGGCGGTCGATGGAACGCACAGTCCTCCCGATTTCCCTCGCGCTGATGGAGGCACGGGTGGGGGCGACCCGTCGCGTCCCCACGATGAGTATCTCCCCGAACCTCTCACGTCATTACAGCGAGAGGAGCTTCGCCGCCGAAACACGGACGCACTCCGCACTCCTATCGCCGGAGAGTCCCCCGAGGCCCGAGCCTTGGAGGACGCGCGCTTGGCTAATTTGGCCGAGCGCACTCGACTGGAGAATCTCCAGCGAGCACTCGACGAGCAAGCGCGTCAGCGGGCTCCCGAGTCTAGTCGACGCCAGCTCTTCCCGTTGACGCAGGTATACCGAACCCCAGTTCAGAATTTGACCGCCGCGGCCCGTATAGCAGAATCGATTCAGCCCTCCCAGTCGGAGGCTGGCAGGGGCTTGTTACAGATCAGAGCGTTGCTCCGGGCGGCGGGAAACTAGAATTCCGCTGTTTCTTAGTCGCGGAATAGGATCCACAGTCGATCCGTTGCAACAGATACAGTCCAGTCGGCTCACAGCCCGCGGTCGCCCCCGAGGCGTGAGGGACGTGGCGACCGGCATGATTAGTACAGAAGAAATGAGCAGTATGATCACCGATTCGATCGTGATGATCGACGTCGAGTGCCAACCCCTCCCCCGAGGAGTGGGTCATATGCGCCTCGACATCGAGATGATAGGCGCCCTCATAGCGTTGGGCAGAGGATTCCCGTTGACCCCAGGGACCCAGGCTTTGACGCGAGATCTGTCCTCGTTCAAGGCTTGGTTAACAGGAACAGGGCTCATCGGGAAGGCCAGAACAGAGATGCACCCGCCAGCAGCAGAATACGTGTTTCAGGGCCAGAGTGTTTCAGTCGAGCCATCAGGGTCGCGGTGATTCCTCCCAACTTTCGGTTGGTGACTGGAGTCAGCAAGTTCACCGGTGAGTCTAAGCCTGACACTTGGCTCGAAGATTACCGAGTGGCTGTACAGATTGGCGGTGGCAATGATGAGGTGGCTATGAAGCATTTGCCTCTCCTGTTAGAGGGCTCGGCCAGAGCGTGGCTGAATCAGTTAGCACCCAGCAGCATCTACACTTGGGAGGATCTCTCTCGAGTGTTTGTCACAACCTTTGAGGGAACATGCAAGCGACCCGCAGGCCTTACAGAATTGCGGTCTTGCATGCAGAAGCCGAGTGAAACTCTGAGGGATTACATCCAGAGGTGGATCACTTTGCATCACACAGTTGAGAACGTACCGGATCACCAAGCAGTTTGTGCCTTTAAAGAAGGCGTCAAAAACAGAGAGTTGAACCTGAAGTTCGGTCGGACCGGAGAAATGTCCCTGAATCGGATGATGGAAATTGCCACCAAATACGCTAACGGAGAAGATGAAGATCGACTCTGGAGTGGCAAGCAGAAAGAAGTCGCCCAGGAAACCGGAGGCAATTCCAGTCGGAAGCAGAAGCGGAAGGCCGAGCCAGCCGCCCCTGGGGAGGCCCTGGCCGCAATCCAGGGAAATTTCAAGGGAAAACCCAAAGGCCCCTGGAAGCCCAAGAAAGTTAAGGATCAAGATGGAAATGATGTTTTGGATCTGCCATGTCACATCCACACCAAGAAAGATGAAGAGGGTAATTTCATTTACCCAAAGGATACCACTCGACAGTGCCGGCTCCTAATCCAGCAGTTTTAAGGCAAACAGTCCAAGGATAAGGAAAAAGAGTCGGACAGAGTCGAGGACAAGGAAGACAGTGACGATGGATACCCCCAAGTCAATTCCACCCTGGTGATTTTTGCTGATGTCGAAAGCAAAAGTCGACTGAAAATCATTAACCGTGAGGTGAATATGGTTGCTCCGGCAACACCCAGTTATCTGAAGTGGTCTCAGACTGCCATCACGTTCGACCAGTCTGATCACCCTACGCACATTGCCACCCCTGGGAGGCAAGCTTTGGTGGTCGATCCAATTGTCGAAGGCACTCGACTGACCAAAGTCCTGATGGATGGTGGCAGTGGCCTGAACATACTGTACGCCGAAACTTTGAAAGGAATGGGCATTCCGATGCCCAGACTAAGTACCAGTAACATGAGCTTCCACGGAGTCATTCCTGGCAAGAAAGCCGAATCACTCGGCCAGATTGCTCTTGATGTGGTTTTTGATGATTCAAAGAATTACCGCAAGGAAAAGTTGACATTCGAGGTTGTGGACTTCCAAAGTGCTTATCATGCCATTTTGGGCAGGCCAGCTTACGCACGCTTCATGGCTCGACCATGTTACGTGTACCTCAAACTGAAGATGCTTGGCCCTAAAGGTGTAATCACTGTTACAAGCAACCGAAAGA